GATGCTGCTACACACACATAGGACAGCCCTCCACGATAAAGATTTATTCCGCCCAAATGTCGGCAGTGATGAGGTTGAGAAACACCACTATAAACCGATGTTACAAAATGTCTCCATGTTTGAGTTAAAGTTGTACTCATGCAAATTTATTAATAAAGCATATACGGACATTATTAGCATGTTTACCCTTCAAATTCAGCCACGTAAATATGAAAGTAACTTCTAAAGATAACTCTCTTGTTTCCACCTACTTCCTCCCCAACGGTTCTTTTGCACAAATAAATTTCTCTAAAATTTCCGTATAACTGGGAGTTATTTCTTATAAGCTCTGAGCCTATGGTAGTTGTGAGTAACCCCTCTAGGACACCGAGGAGGAACGCAGAGCTAAAAATGCTTTTAAGACTGATGATGCTATTAAAATATCAATGCAATAGAAAATAATTAGCCATGATCAATTACACCATGTAAAAATAGATTCTCTTTAATTTTTATTCTATTTTCTATACTCTTTAATGATCTTCTGCTTGAAATGTGGTGGCAGATTCTGAATCTTAAGTCACCTGAACTCAAGTGTCTATGTTAACAATGCAAAAACAATAATTACTTGCACTCAATATTCCTTAAGAATTAATTTTTACAGAAAAAGTATTTCTCACCAGTGTGATGAATATTAGTATATTTTTATTATTTCAGTTTGAAATAAAGAGCATTCGCCTAACTTCAGTTTTTTACCAGAGTTCGTTTTCAGGGCCTCTTTAAACCATTTGTTGTACAAAATTCACAACCATGACTACCTTGCATTTTGTGACCACCTGCCTGAGAGGGTACGTGTCAGAATTATTTGGCCAAGAGATTCTCCTTATGCTGTGGTTTTTCTCATGTATTATGTCTGAATTCTCCTGTATAGCCTCTCCAGTTCTATGCTTCTTAATCTTTAGTTAATAAGTCTTCATAAAAATACTTAAATAAGTATACACATCTCAAATCTGACATGTTTTTATATTTTATTTTATGCCAGGACATTTTTATAAGAACAGTAGTATTAATAATTTATAACACTACCTTAAATGTATAGAACACAACACAAAAATGTTCTAGACCACTTTAAAGTGTCTTATGGCATATGCTTATACACATAGATATAACATATACCACATAGAAATGCACATGCTTGTCTACACACACATTTCTTCTACTTTCTATATTTAACCTCTTTGAGGAAGGACATCATAGGCATTCTACTAATATATCTGCAATAGTGCCCAATAATCTCTAGGCTACAAAACCATGAATAATTTAACCAACTAATATTACAAGGAGAAAAAAGTGCCGGGGAATTCTAGCAAGCCAAATTTAATTCAGACTTGGCAGTTCAGAGAGGAAACCTCTTCCATGAAAAGTATAAATAGAATCATTTGTGTCAATGGGTGCTTAGAGTCTCACCAGCACTTCACTCAAAGACTGAGACATCTTTAGAAAATCCGGATGCCGACTCAGTGCCACATCAATCATCTTTGTGGCCACTCCATCCCTCGGGAGTTAGAGAGGTTAGCTCTCCCCCAAGTTAAAGCATTTACTCCTTCCCCCAGGTGAACCTGGGAATCAGTCCAGAGGAGGAAGGTTGATGATTACAACAAACTTGAAAATTGTTTTAAACTCATCATGACTGGGGCCCTAATTCTGTCCAACTAATTATCATTCATTCTGCCTTAAGTCTCTGGACCAGTGCTTCCGTTTGTAACTGACTGCTGGCCTGTCACCTACTGGCTTCTTTCTTGTCGCATGTCATATTTTCCTTATGCTTGTTATGCTCTGAAGGGTCCTGTCCAGGCTAATTTTGGATGTCAAGCTGTCATTAAAAGACCCAATGCATGAATGTTTAAATAACTTACCTTTGCTTTAAATTATCCTTAAGTTATTGTGGTCATTACAAGTAAGCAAAAGGCATTTCATAGCATCCTTTACAAAGCACAGAGCACAGATAATCCTTAATTTCTCTTGAGAGAGGAGGGAGCAATGTTTTCTCCTGTAGTTTCACCCATAAACTCTTACAAAAATGTTTGCTTTGTGTTGTTTCTCTTCAAAAAAAGGGAATGCCATCCAAGCACAAATCCACGTTTTCTATACATTAAGGACAATATGTGGTAGGAATAAGAATTCTCAAAATCCCAATGTCATCAACCCCCTCATGATTTTCAGAAGTTATCTGATAACCAAAATGCAAAGGACAACACCATGTTCAAAGGAGAAACCATCTTATTAAATATGCCCATTATGCCAGGAGCTGCCCCTGGGGTTGCAGACACTAAACTTATATATGGTCCCTTCCCCATTGTAATTTCACTTTCATCACTGAGACATTATGGACTTGAAATTCATAGAGCTTTAAAATTTATTATAAAATTTGGTATATATATATATAGAGAGAGAGCACATTAAGTTCTCTAGGGAAAATAAAAGCTAAATGGTTTGAAAGAAATAGTGATGCACTAAATTTGGGGAAAAGGAATTTTCTTATTTCTCTGTATACTGGCAAAGTATTTTACCTCATTGGTACCTAATCTCTGTAAGTTGTTTTCGCTTCTTTGGGGCATTGTCAATCATCAAAACTAATTGTGCTTTTATAATGATAAGAGATAATTAGAGGTGCATGTCCTGCCATGACCTAAGGTATAGACCCAGATTATCTTGCAGTTATTACATGTTCAAGTATCTTACTATGTACTTGAAAAAGCAAACATTATATCTCCAAATGGTTTCCTTGGTTTGGCTACCTGCCCCTGTGTAGTGCAGGAACAGATCTTAAAATACATGATAGAAGTTGCACATTTAGAAGCCAAAGTATTATAGAAAATGAGTACTGTCATGTAAAATAAAGCAATTTCTAACTCCAGTTGGTTTTCATGTCTGCAAATATATGTCTAAACACTCACAAATTTTATTTTAATAAAGCCTAAGAGATCATCTCTTTATTTAGAGGCTTAAAGTTTTCTATGCTTTTAAGTTAAAATGAATTAAAGCTACAATATGGAGAATACTAAACAAGTTAAAAATTAATGAGGTAGTTTTTTTATAATAACACTGAACATATAACAAACAATTTTAGTAAACCTCTTGTCTTCAATAGCAAGTGAAAACCACATTCTCATGCATTATATTTGTGTTCTTTATTTTTAAAATGTTAAAATGCTGGAAACTAGTTGTTATGTGACATAAATACATAAAATTTGTAATGATTTTGTTCGCTGGAGCAAAAATTGCTTTAAAGACAAGTAGCTTCCTCAACTGACAGAAATTTAAGATAGGAATTTTATTACCTATTTTTATTTATGAAGGTTAATGATTTTTATCCCAATATGAAATTTTGTATGCGTTGTGATTGATGGATAATAATGAAATGTGGTATTGACCATGTCCTGCTTCTTCATGAAATCATAAGGTGGTCTTATTTGTGTGTTGCACATGACTTAGCTTTGCACTGTAGCACCACCTGGTGGACGAAATATCATTTTCTTCTGTACTTAAGCCCCTTCACTATATATCCAGTTATGACATACAGGTATTTTAATTATAAAATGATCTAACCTTAAAGATTACTGTAAATAATATGAGGTAAAAAATCTGAGGTGTTTTCTAAGTACTAATGACCAGTTAAATGTCTGAATTTTTTTAAACTTCATTAATATATATGGCTTTGAATTGTCTGACACATACATATGCAAAAACCATGGGGTTTTCTTTAGAATATAATTTTGTATCATTTACATCTTTTTCTCCATGAAGAATTAAATAAGACTAAGACATTTTCAGTAGCTTAGTTGTAAATTATGGTATAAGTTAGACTGTCTACCAAAAATTCAGGATAATCTCTTTATAAATACTTTATGAAGATTTTTCATACAACAAATTCTTATTGTGATAACAGTTTATCAACAATTCAAATTAAAACTACTATTTTAACCAATGCTATTATAAAAGAAGTCATTTCATGCTTATTTTCCCTTATAATTAAAATTTAGTGTGGTCATATATATTATTAGCTCTTAGTTTTTAATACTTAAAAGACGTTTCCAGAAGATAAATATGACAATATTTCAAGTGAAAAAGATAACTACATTTAAAGTTAGTTTTGATAACTTAACACATGTTGATTTTTGTCTGGTCCCACACCTCTGTGAAATACGGGATTTTCCCTCTGAAATACGGAGGAAATACACCCTCCCATGTCACTGTATCCCTTAGGAATACACTCTTGTGCATTCCCTGAGAAAACTGTGGGGGATGGGGGTTTAAATTTAAATTGTGTAACATTCAAAGGCTGAGTAGCCAAATAACAGGTGATGACATTTAAATAGTAAATACATTCTAGCTTCCCACTTCTAGTATGTCATTTCAGATAAAATTATAATAAATAGCCTCCACTAAGATATGCTTCTTAAACTACAGTTAAATGTAGCAGATGCCCCCTCCCACCCCTTCACCCTTTATCCAAGGCTTTGCTTTAACCAAGATCAGAAAATATTAATGGGAAAATTACAGAAGTAAACAATTTATAGGTTTAAATGAGCACCATTCTGAGTAGTGTGATGAACTCTTGTGCTATCCTGCCTGATTCTATTTTATTGTTCATTACATTGTTGTTAATCTCTTATTGTGCCCAATCTACAAATTAACATTATTATAGGTATATATATAGGGTGGGTCAAAAGAAGGTTTATAGTTGTGAGTACACAAAACAGAATTTATTCTTATATTATTATTGATTAGTTATTATATTATTTTCCATATGAATAACTGCAAACCTATTTTTGCCCCATGTTATATATTGATGAAAAACATAATATATTTAGAGATTGTTACTATCCATGGTTTCAGGCATCTACCAGAGGTCTTGGAGTGCATACCTTGTGGGTAAGGGGAACCTTGTACGTACCTTGTATATTGTTACCTCTAGAAAACACTTAAAATCTTCTGTCTTTTTTTTTCTCCTTCTTTCTAAGGCCTTGGATTGTACACTGTAAATTCAGCATACGGAGATACCATTACCATGCCTTGCCGACTCGACGTACCTCAGAACCTCATGTTTGGCAAATGGAAATATGTAAGTGTGACCTACCTTGGATTTATTTAATTGCCTCTAGCTATTGAAATAAAATTCGTCCTGTGAGTGAATGTGAATTTCAAATTAACATAATGGCAATATGCAACTCTGGTACAAATGTAGGCACATAGAATTCACATGTTGATTATGTCAGAAGAATAATTCCTAAGTCTTACACAGCAAATACTATTTTAAAATGAATGTGGTAAACACCTCATTCTTAGGTCATATTAGTCTGAAAAATTCAACATTAAGTGTTTGAGGCGGAACAAAATGCAGGGATCCAGAGTAAAACGAGTGGGTGCAGGACAAGGCTCAGTGGCAGCTGGCTGCTGCGCGCTGGTGTTCTGCTTGGTGCGGCTGCGGCAAAGGCCGGACGCACAGTAGCCAAGGTGCCCAAAGGTTCGCTGCAAGTTCATCTCAGTATCACAGGTTGTCCCCGACGATTTAGTCTCGGGGTGTGTTGATGTGTCGGTCCTTTTTATGTTTAATATTGTTGATTTTATCCATTGCTTACAGATAACAAAAACGCATTTTCTTGAGTATCAAGGTACAGAGGGGTCTAGAAATGGCAGGTAGATACCCTGGTAGGTGAAGGTGAGGTGGTCAGGTGACATCGACTGACAAATTGTCTCAATTTAATTACTAAAACCAACACGAGGTGTCTCTGAGGCATGATTTCCCAGTGCTGCCTCATATGAGATCCGTGGTAGTTTGCAAGCTTAAAATCGACATGGTTCCCTGAGCAGAATGGCTCCTTGAAATATTAAGAGATGTCTGAAAAAGAAAAAGGTTTGATGATCAAATAACTTTTGAAGTTCCTTTAGTGCGGCACTTTTTAGAGCATTTCATGTGTTAAGATGCATTATGAATTATCTGAGTTTGATTCATCTCTTATTTATTTAACCACACAAATTTTCCCCCTCAAATATCTGCAAAAGCAAACATTCTAAAGAACACACTTTGGGAAACGTACTATGGCTGCAGCTAAAGGGCGAAACAACACATTCTTTTAAAATACGGGTTCCGAGGTCAGACCAGCAGGCTCTGCCCCACTCACTGTGGGCTTCAGGACACAGAATTACTACCCATTTTCTCATCAGTAACATGAGATGATAAGAATAATCTTCCTGTAGTGTAATGAGGCTTACACGAAGTAACTCCTATCAGAATACTTATAGAAAGCTTGGCGGGTGATAGCCGCCGTGAAATGTGAAACCTGTTATGGCTGCAACCCTCGAAGCTCATTGTGTGTGAGGGAGGTGGGAAAGGAGAACCAGGGTGCTTCTCCGGGCTCACCTCCTGCCGTCCTGCTCACATCAGACTCCTTCTTGTTCCCTGTAAAAGTGGACATATGGACTTTGGCCTATGCAGACAAAGTCTACTCCCACCCCTAAAATTCCTACAGTCTGGAAATGACCACATAATTCACTTGTTGATTCAAATTGACTGCCAACATAAATAGAACACAGAGGGTGGAAGCTTCTGTGATCACAGACTTTTCTGAGAATAACCCAGGGATTCATTTTCACCTGAACGGAACGGGCACAGCGGTAGTGGAAACAAGCAGTAATGGCAATTTTCAAATTGTTCATTAAGTAAAAAGCTTCAGCAATAAACTGACGAGATACGTTTGATATACCATGTGCTCTAAAAACTATTGATTTGCAGCATAGTCTACAACCTCTAGTTTAATGTAACCTGACAGACAAATGGGAGGTTTGGAAAGAGTGAAAGGGAGCAAACATTGAGGAAGGACGGATCACCTTCCCCCCTCCTGTGCAGTGATCTCCCAGTGAATGAGGATCCTACCTCCCTGTGCACCCCCTTGCACCCCACCCCCGCCACCTCTTCACCAGTTTCTGCCTCCGTGGACGTGGCCTCTAATGGCTGTAGAGAGTGGTACACAGTAGTCATCACGGAGCCAGACCTCCGAGCTCCAGTCTTGCTTTGCTGGGGCACTTTAAGTAGCTGGGCCTTTGAACAAGTTGTTTAACCAACCTGTCTCCATTGTCTGATCTGTAAATAGCACTAATGTCTTTACTCTAACATACAGGGTTGTTATGGGTATTAAATCAATTAATGTGTGGAAAGCCTAAAGAAAGAACCTGGGATGTAGTTAAGTACTCAATATTTAATAACTTCTTTATTGCATAATTGAATGAAGAAACAAATTTAAGGTTACTGGTCTAACATATTTCTCTTAATCAGTAATGATTTAGGGCAAGGATTTTCATTGTAAACCTGTGACAAAATTAAAAGATTTGAGGAGAATATTAGCAATGTGTTCATATAATCAACCAACTAAAACTTGTGAAGTCGAAAATTAGCTTAGTACTTGCACTAGTGTGGTCCCCTGTAACAAAATACCATAAACATGAACTTGTACAACAGATTTATTTCTCACAGTTCTGGGGGCTGAGAAGTCCAAGATCAAGGTGCTGGCTGGCACATTCCACTCTTAGTGGGGGTACTCCTCCTGAATGGTAGACAGCAGACCTGCTGGCCTTCTGCTATGTGCGCATATCACCTCTTCTTTGTGCTCTATGGAAAGACACCCCCATGTGTCTTACCTTCCATATAAAGGACGGATCCCATCATGAGGGTACCGTTGCCGTGGCCTCATTTGAACCTAATTACTTTAAAGGCTCCACTCCCCGATAGTAGTACATGGGGGGCTAAGACTTTGACATAGATTTGGTGGGGACATGAATATCTAGTCCAGAGCAGTAACAAATCACAATAATTTTTAAAATATAATACCTTGAAATTTGCCATGTACTTTAAAATACTTTATCATATTTTTTCCTCAAAGGTCTTGTGAGGGAAATAGAAGATAGATTTCTCCTATTTTAAATGAAATTTCTTAATAGGAAAGAATGTTCTTCTAGGAGCAGGAGTAGAAATGAATTATATCTCAGTGCTTTTGGCATAGCCGCGTATGCCCATATTATATTTTATTCTGATAATAAGCTTTTATATGAAAGCCCTCTGAGCTAAGTTTTATGACTGAAGTAACAAAACTATGGATTTTAGTGATTAATCTGATTCTCTGGCTAAATGGACATGAGGGTTTCACAAGGGCAAATCCTGCCTTTCCATGAAGAACCATTAAACTGTGTTATGTGTAAAGGTCAGCTGTGTCAGTTTTGGCAGAAACTGAAAGGTATGGACATTTGAAGTATGTGGACGGAAGTGAGGAATATGCAAAAGAGAATTCCCCGTTATTGCTAAGTGAACCCTTGCAGCTCAGGTGCGCGCTTGCTGCGATGGTTAACTGAATACCACATGAACACTTGTGTATTTGTTTACATCTGTTTGTTCCTTTATACTGGACACAAGGGCACCTCTTGTCACTTTTCAAGCAGTCACTAATTCTGCCCTCCCAGCGCAGGAAAATCTCAGATTCCTAGAGCTTTACCATTTCTTTTTCAGGTATTTAAGCTCATACCTGGAAAAGAACTTACAGCTGCTCTTATGAAGTGAAATTCTGTACCCAGAGATTTATGCGAGGCTTGTATTCGAGTTATTCTTCTTGGCCACAACTGTAAAACTGGTGGAAGAATATTATTTGGGATGGGACTCTGAAACATCTGGATATGCTCGTCTTTAAAATACGTTGTTATTTTAACTTTTAGGAAAAGCCCGACGGCTCCCCAGTATTTATTGCCTTCAGGTCGTCCACGAAGAAGAGTGTGCAGTACGATGATGTTCCCGAGTACAAAGACAGACTGAGCCTCTCGGAAAACTACACGTTGTCTATCAGTGACGCGAGGATCAGCGATGAGAAGAGATTTGTGTGCATGCTAGTGACCGAGGACGACGTGTTTGAGGCGCCGACGATAGTCAGGGTGTTCAGTAAGTAGTCTGTGGTGTGCCTGCTAAGTGGGGTTGATGCCCGGTCCTCGAACGTGCTCTTGAGAAAGAAGACTGAACCCTCTGTGGTGTCCACAGAGCAGACATCCATGTAAGAGGGTGTCTAGCGATCTTCATTCTCATGCATGCTGTCAGTGAGGAAAACTAAAAACTGCGAAACTCAACTAGGTCTTTTGCAGCGAGGGACTAAAAGAATGTTCTCTGATCTTTTGTCAGGTAAAATTTCCTGTGATATGGAGAACTACTAAGGGAAAATTGGCCTGTGGTCTTTAACTTTCACTGATATGTACAAACAAATGTTCTGTGAGGTGTGCATAGATCCCTACGTACATATATTCATTCATGTCATGCAAACATATAGTGTGTTAAGCAGGCCACATAAAATTGAACTTTCATGTGTGAAAACAGTGCAATACAGGCAAATCCAAACTCTCTTGTGATTTTGAAATCTAAGCTTTAAAAATAAGAGTGTATAAGCCCACCCACACATACATCCTGACCTTAAATGCTTGCTGGTTTATTTCTTCAAAGTGTTTACTTCGTTTATAAAATTGCCCTAAAATAACGAAGCTTACCGTAATCCTGAATGTGTGTGCAGACAACAAGAAGGGGGAAAACATACAGCAGGGTTAAAAGAAGAGAAGAACGTAGAAGAAACTTTCGGTAACTGTGGTAGTCTTGATGGCAAGGCCACTTTGCCTAACAATGATCCATAGTTAAAGCTCCTGTGCACATAGATATGCAAATGAATGACTGGAGAAGTTCTACTTAGATCATCTTTTAATATTCGAGTATAAAGTCCCACTTCCCTCACCTCATAATATTCTAGAAAATCCTGGGAGAAAAAGAGTCTCACAAGTTTCAGAACGCCAGTCGTTCGTTAGGGAGGAAGGTCTTGCTTCAGTTGGTCCCTCTGCTTTCCAATGACCTGACAGCACCTGGAAATGATTAAAATAAATATGGAAGAAAGAAGCCCCAAGGCCTTGCTACCACAGCAAGAAGCCACAATCGTTCCGCTTTTCCTGTAAGAGCCAACGCAGCTCAGGGGAGCTGTCCCTTCAGTGTTCACACGGACTTTTACGTCCCTGTGGGCACAGGACATGGGCTCAGAGATGCTGAGCCTATGAGAGAAAACCCTTGTTCTCCAGAAAAAAACTTGTAAACGATTTTTTACATGTTTTAGGTGATTACCTTTCAGCTTAGAGAGCAGTTTCCAGAAACCATCCACTCGTGCCCATTATTTTAGGAATCAAACCAAATACCAAGTGTTTATAAGCCATGGCCCCTCTGTTAAACACCCCCAATAATCTGCATCCTGCATTTGGCAACGCCCCATTTGTGTTCTTTCTTTTGTTTTATTTCACTCTGATAATTAGGGAGATGGATTATGCTGTGCTAGGGACACTTTCTAAAGACAGCAACCAAAATGTTTAAATTAGGCCATGATGTATTAAATATACGCACGTATCAAGAATGTACCACCGTAGGCACCGAGATTAATTGCTGGGACTCTAAAGGTCATGTGTGATGATTGGCATTGTCAGGTTTCTCTTCACCGGGTCAAAATGACCAAATCTCAAGGTAGTATACAAGAAAGTTGAGAAAATTCAGGTTGTCCCATTTGTTGTGACAATGTGCAAACTATACTCTTTTTAAAAACATGCCATATGAAGAAATGCAGTTGGTCTCCTTAGATAAAGACTGTGAGCCATTGTGGAGCGCAGAGCACTTCTCTGATCGAGGCAACAAACTCACCCGCATACAGTCAGCGCCCTCCCCCTCGCCTCTGAATGCTGTTGAAAACAAAGTGACTCTCAGGAACAGAATTTGCATTCCAGGCTCTGGGCCAGGGAGAATTTAAACAGACAAATTACACACTTTTGAAAATGGAGTTTTATACTAGAAACCGTGGGACACTCCAAGTCTAATAAAATGAACAGCGCAGTTCAAAGAAGCTGTTTGCAAAAGCATATAGGGGCTTCACTTTCTTAAAAATAATGAATTTACTTTAGGTCACTTTTCATGAAGCAAACAGCAGCTGTGATGGGGAGGCTTTCATTTCGTGCATAGTATGTATTGCAGTCACTTAGGAGTTACTAGGCTCATCAATCAGTCCTCTGTTTCCTTCTGTCTAATCACCTAGCAACATGCACTGTGTACCACAGAAAGGAGTGTGGTTAACGTGAGCTAATCCCAGATCAGCTTGCTGCAAAGCGTCGTCCTCACGGGCAAAGTCAGATGGCATTTATTCAACCCAGGAGCCTGGACTGATGACTTTGTTACCTCTGATGTAGGGTTGTTTGTTTAGTTTTAACCTGTATCTCAGAAACAAGAAGTCATTTCAAAAAAGCAGCCCAGATCAAAATAAATCACTAATACAGCTTTTTTCCATTGGCAGCTGAGTGGCCTCAAAATCAAACTGTTTGCATTTAATGCACATTTGAAGCTAATAATACCGTTTAAAAGGAAGAATTGACCTTTGATAGTTCCCAAAGATTTGTCCCAGTCATTGTGCAAAAGGTGTTAGAGGACAAATGGGTACCCAGATTGCCAAGTGGCTTTCGGTGGTGTAATGGAAAAATCACTGGGCTGCTTATCAGGAGACCTAGCTTGTTAATATGCTGGTAATTTCTGACCTTGGTCAGACTGAGAAGTCACTTCACCCGTCTGGGGCTGTGAGTCCCTCCTCATCAGTAAAATAAGTTCTCTGACTTAGATGGCAGTTTTCCCATTGTGTTCCTAGAGTCCTCTTGAGAAATTAATGAAGAAAGCTGAGAAGGTGAGGAGCTGCCTCTGTTAGATTAGCTAGAATTCCACCTACTCAATATTTCAAAGTTTTTTTCATGATAATTTGTTCAGGGTAAAATAGAGGCAGGCGGAAAAGCTACACTTCTAAAAAAGCATTCACAGACCACCAATCCAGGCTAACCTGTCCAGAATCTTACACTCCAGTGTCTGTGGAGCTGAGAGACTGTCCCCATGACAGAGACTGTGGTGTGCATCTGGACCAGCTCCTCTCTCACTGATGGGTGGTGCTAGTTTGCTTCACACAGTTGTTTTAGAGCTTGCCTGTGGATTGTGGTCTCACTGTTCTTTCACAAATGAGCATCCCTCTTCCCCACTTCCTGTGAAAGTTAGTCAACCTGCAAATATTTTTTTAATGAAGAAGGCAGAGAATGACCTATTTAACAAATGTGACCTATATTGTATATTTCATTTTGACTCTTTAAATATTAAAAAATTACCCTTCCCATCTCATGAGGAAAATAAACTAATGCCATGCTTACAACGGTTTACTTAAACTACGTCGGGATTTATGAGGGGTGAGTGCTGACAAAGCACTGAGGGAAGCACTCTCGAGTCAGTGCAGCAGGGCGCCTGCCCTTCCTCCCTCTCCTCCCACATCAGACTGAGCTGTCCTGTGTGGGGTTTACACTGTACCTTGTGGGTGATACAGGGCGGTTGTGCATTCATCACTCCATCCTCACTCAGCTGTGAGACCCTTGACAAAATTATTTTAATAATGCAAATAAATTCGGGGCATGACTTTATCTTTAAGTTCTGTACTTGGTTATGAACCCTTGAATGATATTAAGACATAATTCATGTAAAGTTTTTAGAACCCTGCGGAATCAATATGCAATTTTGTTAAAATAGTACAGGTGTCCCCTTTTATGGTCTTCCAACTAATACTCATTGATTGTTACAAGCTAATACAAGAGAAAACTCACACAGAATATAGAGTTAACATAGAGGGTTTTAAACAAAACTTTAAAGAGAAAATAACTCAGATCAATTCAGTAGGCATTACCATTACTTTCACAGTACCCACTGCGATGTTCCCTTCCAAATACAAAGACAAATAACAGTGTGAAGAGGACTAAGCTTTCAGCATTCTTTCATCAAGTTTCCCTGGATTTGCAATAGTTTCATTTTATTGAAATAAGAATAAACTTTTAAAAATATTAGTGGAAGTTAATCCTTTATACAAGGCCAATTGTTTATGGTCTTACGTACATTAATAAGAGCTCACAGGGTTTACCAGGCACGGGAGAGAAATAGATGCATTCCATGTAAGAGGAAGTATGTGTCCAACTGGTTAGATACATGCTTTGGGCGAACCAAGATGTAGTACAACTCAGCCAAATGACCTGCCCACATTTTGTATTAAGAGCCTTCATTTTGTCAGAGGATTTTTTAAATTCTTCCATGTATTCCAGACTTAGATGCTACTGTTAATTTTGACTCTGATTGGCCACATGAATAAATTTAATATCTCACCTCACTTCAGCTCTCAGAGCAGTGTCACTGATTTCAGTTCCCAGCAGATTTTGTCTGACATGCTTAAGCCCCAAGAATTTTCATTATATTTGAGTAGTTTGGTTGCAGCCCTCTTTCCAATGTGTTACATTTGCATTAAAACACAAATTCTGAACAGAATTTATGTATTAACAATAGCTCAGAGTTGTAATTATGAATATTAGTGACATTAAATTAAAATAGTGATCTCATCAAGGCTTACTGGTGTATGGGAAGGCTTAGTCTGCCACTGTATGTTTCCCAGAAGTGACTGCTTAAACTAGAGTTTTTGTCAGTTTTTATAAGCTTTTCTATCACATTTTTAACAATCAGGCGGTCAGATGGGACTTCTTGTTTACGTGGATGTAGTTGTCTCTGTCATTAGAAGTTGGCTTTCTAGTTTTCCATATTTCTTGTTTATATTTTCCACCTTTTTAATATTTTGTTTCCAATCTACGTGTTTAGGAAATTGATAATCACTGTTGTGAAAAGTATATTAGGAGAATTATATTTCTAGAATCAGTGGTTTAAATGAACCCTCTTAAAGTACATGAGTTCCACACATGGGCAGATTTATATGTTTTTTAAGATTTTATTTTTAGAGAGGGGGAAGGAGGGAGAAAGAGAGGGATAGAAACATCAGTACATGGTTGCCTCTCGAGTGCCCCTCACTGGGGACCTGGCCTGCAACCCAGGCATGTGCCCTGACTGGGAATCAAATTGGTGACCCTTTGGTTCACAGTCTGGCACTCAATCCACTGAGCTACAGCAGCTAGGGCCCAGATTTATTATTGTTATTATTATTAATAATAATAATAATATAAAACATAATTGCAAAAGGGAAATCAACCCAATATTCACCTGAAGAAGTATAGATATTTTGTATATAGTCTTACTGATATTTATTTTGCTACACTAAAGACTTTTTTATTTCCATCTTCATTTTCTGTAATGCTCTGGGTAGGTAACTTGTCTGATAACTAGTAATAATTATGCCAACTTAGTTTAGTTTGTTAATCAAAATTATAAGTATTAGAGATGGTAAACAATAAGAGTCTAAAGGAAAGCATAGCTGGTTATTTTTATTTATCTATTTATATAAGAAAAGAATAATTCTGCTCCATGTGACTCAGAGATGTCAGTGCCAACAAGGCACTATCCATTTTCTGTAGACTAATTGTTGGACCTCAGAATAAACTAACCTAAAATAAGCTTAAATAATACCTTGTTGCTGAATTTTTTAATCAGTTCTTTCTGAAACCTCTATTAGAATTTATGTTTACAGAATTTCCTGTATTTGAAATGTTTCTCTTCATTCCCTCAGGTTCCAAACTTGAAAGATTTCACTACATTTGTAGTGTTGCAATGTGACTTCACTTAAAAGATAAGATTGAGGATACAGTGGAAACCTGGGCCTCAGTGTCCCTAAACTAACTTAGCATTTTCTCATGACTTTAAAGCAATGACTCTTAAACTTTATTGTGCCCAAAATTCCCTATGGAACTTGTTTAAAATGTAGATTTATAGAATTTCTCCCCCAGAGATTTGGGTTCATTTGGCCAGGTAGGGCTCAGAAACCCGCCGTTTAAATCAGTGAGTGCTGCTGTGATTCTGGTCATGTGGATTAGGATCTGCACCTGAGGAGTGGAAGCGCTGATAATGGACACAGTAATCAATTGGAGATAACACATCCTCTCTAGCACATTAACCTGTTTCACTATCAAATTCATATTCATTGTGTATAAGATGTCCAAAACCATTATTGATCCTTTTTGCAAAGGAGTTATAAGCATTTAAAATATTTAACATCATGTAGCAAATATTCAAAGGGTGTGGACTAGACTTCTCCCTTAACATATTATATAGAAAGCCTATCCTATATGCTATTGCTTGATTTTCTACTTTGAATAAATGAAGTACTTTTGTAAGTGAAATCACAACATCCTGTTATACTTTCATGTGCACTTAAAACCTTTCTCTACTTAACTTTAGAGCAACCGTCTAAACCTGAAATTGTTAGCAAAGCACCATTTCTTGAAACAGAGCAGCTAAAAAAGGTAAGCGTTTGCTTTTCATTGGTTGCCTTTACTTAGCCTACTATTAAATGCCTTCACCCGACCTCAGACACCAGGACAAATAAGATAAGCTTTGTCCCTGGTGCAGCTGACAGTGTTGCAGGTGCGGGTCAGAAAGTCTGCCAGAGGGACTGTGGGGCGCAGGGGAAGGTGATGCCATTTCTGAAGGGAGCAGAGGGAAGTGAGAGTGAAAAGAGGCATGTCTTTCTTGTTTGAATGAACTGAATATTTAATGGAGCCATGAAAGATGAGTAGATTTTACCAGCAATTTGAATTACTATGATATGAAAGACAATGACATTTGGGGGAAACACTGAGTTATTTGCATTGCCGGTCAGAATTTTGGATGCTAAGGCAGTGGATGAGAAAGTGAAGATAAATCCTGAAAGGTAAGGAGAGGGTGGATTATGATAGGCCTTATGTGTCAGGTAGGGGATATGGATTTTATACTACTGACAAATTACTGAAAAGTTCAAGTAAAGGTGTGAGACGACCAGATTTGAAAGATCGCGCCTGCAGGGGTTGGAAAGGAGGTTGTCACAAAGGAGGGACAGATCTGGAGTTCCACAGTTTGGCACATTAATTGCCCAATAATCCCATTTTCACTGGGTAAGACACTTCAATTTTGCATTGTAGGGGGAGAAAACAAGTCTGGAATTTTTTGCAGCAGATTAAACTTTCCCACATAATGTTAGTTTGTAAACACTAAGTGTTAAAGTTAAAACACATTTGAAGGAAAGTGGTGGACCATATTGCGTCTGGAAGGCCTGTGGTGTGAAGCTGGGAAGGCAGCCACACGCTGACGCTGTGAACGACTCCTGCACAGGCAGGTCTGTGAACCTTGGCCATAGCCAGTGTTCTTGCGATTGTGCCATTCCATTCATGTTAAAAATGACTAATGTCAAAATGAATTTGATAACGTTTTTACATAAATGGTTTTATTAACAGGTGCAGTATCTATGGTGTATTTTTAAATGAGCAACACCATAATTTTAAGTGTAAAACGTTGTTCTTATAAAAGAGAGCATTTATACAGTCCTTAGTTGGTACTTAGGAAATGAATGGGCCAGAAACCTTTGGGCTGACCCCCAAATTCTCTGAGGATTTTGAGCTTCGGCATTGACAGTCACCGAGGAAACTGAGGTAGTAACATTTCCTCTTTGTTTTGCAGTTGGGTGACTGCATTTCAAAAGACAGTTACCCCGAAGGCAACGTCACCTGGTACCGGAGTGGACAGGGGCTGCAGCCCCTGGAAGGAGGTGGGTGTGAAGGCGGCCACGCACTCTGATGGCCTGTTTTGACTTTCTCTCATCGAGGGATTTCTTAAACTACCCCACATCTAAATGTGCTGCTGTCTTTTGATCTATGACTCTCTGCTTTGTTACTTTACATGTCCATTAAATCATTAAATGATTTTAAGAAAAAAAACACCATTTTAGCCCTTGTGCAAAAGAATCAAGAGCAAAGAAAATTACTTCTGTATGTGACATGTTTTAGAAGTTAATTAAAGGGAATGGGAAATCAGATTCCAGGATTCTATTCTGTCCTTGTCTCTGATTCATGGCTTTGAAAAAAACATCTGCCTCACTACAGGCCACTTTTCCCTCCTGTTAAGTACATCGAGAAGGACAAAAAGGCATTGTGCCGTTTCATTAAGAATGGTGGAATTGTGATTTTCTGATGAAAGATCCTGTCATTAGTGTTCTGTATTTTCTTCAGCGGTGGTGATAATTTTTAAAAAGGAGGTGGACCCAGTAACTCAGCTGTATACCATGACTTCATCACTGGAGTACAAGACAACCAAGGCCGACATACACATGCCGTTCACCTGCTCTGTGACATATTACGGACCATCAGGACAGAAAACTCTTTATTCTGAACAAGCAATCTTTGATATCCACTGTAAGTAATTTGACATATAATTATGCAGTTTTAATGCATTAGGAAAAATATTTAAATGCTTATCATTCTTTTAAGTCCCAATACTAATGATTTTTGGATTCAACTTCAATCCTCACCCCTACTCCACAGCAGCCCAATAATCTCTTCCTCATTGAAAGACCTATAGAGTGAAGGCTTACAAGTCTTGTGATATCTTTCACTCTTTATTATTTATGAGCACGTTCCTGTATTCTGCTAGATACTAAGCTCCTTAAAGACAAGATCTTTAACTTAGTCTTATCCCTTCTGTTGGTCCTCAGCCATGAACTTTATAGGAGTTCAAAATGCCACCTGGTTTTCTGAGTGAATGACAGGTGAATAGAGGCTATGACTGATTGGTCTTCTCGATAAGTGATTTCCATTTCAATAAGAGATTTATTTTATTTATGAAATCAGTTGCCTAAGTAAAATAGGATGTTGTATTCCAAGATGTTTTGGTTAACTTTATTTCTTAGATTTGAAACATAATAATAGATCACAAAGGAAACTTCTTGATCATCTGGTCTAACTCAGTTAGTTTGATCAGCAATAATGTGATGACAGAAACCTGTTGTAACCTAGCTGTAGACACTGGGTTAGAACCCTTTTCTCCAATGCCATGCTCTTCCCTGTGAGCTGGTGCCAAGGTAACCTAGTGGTTAAGGGCAAACACGCTGGGGACCCTGTCCCAGCAGTGCCCACACTGTGTGTTTCTGGAAGAGTAGTTTCAGTACTCAAGTCTCACTTTTCTTATCTCAAAATAGGAAAAAATATAGTATTAATAATTAACTCATAGTGTCCTTGTAGAGATTAAGTGAAGTCACAAATCTAAAATAGCACCCTATATAACACATTGAATGCTCATTATTAATTACTATTGTCAATGTTACAAAGTGATTATTATTAATTACTACATTAGGAGATGGTAGTGATATCTTCTTTGGAAAAAGAAAGAATTTTATTATTTTTAACTACATCAAAATTTGTAATACTGCCATATGTTGTAGAATAACCTTGAACTTCTATATCTGTTCTGGAGGAAGGACATAAATTCTACTTGAGCTTTCAGAGAGTTTTACCCACGTACATTTCTATTTTGGTTCTTTATAGAACCACACTTTATAGTGTGGAACCTTATGTAAGAACAATACTGAAATTCTACTTGCCCTAATAATTAAGGGTTGCTTTTGCCTTTAACTTTGCAATCCATTTCAACCTGATTTAAAAACTAAAATTGAGAGGACTGCATCACGTACAGCTTATTGAAAATCTATCTGTCATTTCTGTAAGTGAAGGAAGAGTTTTGTCTGTTCAAAAATATCCCATTGGAAATAAACTGTCTTGGTATAAGTGCAGGGGTGCAAGATAGGAAAGAACATGAGGATGAGTCATAAAGACTGGGAAATTGGCTTCAGAAAGAACAAAAGTGTTTGCAAGTACCGGGCACAGAGACTTGGGCAGGGAGAAAAGTCCTTGGTCTTATTGAAGGAAATGATTTTCCTGTGACTGGCAGTGTGGGCGCCTTTGGTGTGGCTTTTGAGAAGGCACAGTTTTTGCAGTTCTTGGCAGGCTTCACGGTGAGGACAGAGAAGTGTCTGAAACATAGTTCTGATAATTTGCTACTTCAGTAGAGAAGTAAGACACTTGTATCAGAAGGAAATTGCCAGTGGAAGAGTACAAATGGTCTGAGTGCCACTGGAACTTGGTGAGCAGCCCTAGAAGGTCAGGTGCTCAGAGACAGTGAGTGTCAAACTCTAGCATCAACATCACCTGGAGAACTTGCCAGAGCACAGATTGCTGCCCCTGCCCAAGCTTTTCACCCACTGGCTCCTGGGAGAAGCCTGGCACTTTGCATTTATAGCAAGTTCCCTGGTGATTCTGTCATTGCTGACCTGAGGACCACACACAGAGAACCACTGCCCCAGGGGGATGCCAGAGGGGAGAAGGAGACAGCTGAATGGGCAGGACACGCAGCCCATTCGAGGAAAGGAAGTTTGATAAATTCATCTGGAGGAAGATGAACTAGTTCACTCCTTCACCTATTCAGTCAGTAAAGAATTCTTAAAAGAATCCAGTTCTTTAATCTTTGTGTTTATCTCATTTCTGCCTTCTGACACTGCCTAAGATTATGACATGATTCTTCATCGCCTGCATTTTTGTGACCATTTTCTAACTAGCATTCGTCTTTTTCATTCATTCCAAACTGTCCTCCAAGCTGCTGTCAGAAGTATCTTCCTAAAACACAATGCAGCCGTGTCATGGCTGCGATTAAAATTCCGTGACGACACCTCAGGTCTCGGAGACCGCTCTCCACACTCCAGGCGGGTGTTTCTCAAGTCCCCTGTAGACACGGTCCTGCCCTCTGTCTCAGCCTCCATGTCTTCACTGCACTCACCACAGTCTGTCCTCTTCTCCAGCTTCTTCCTGGAAGACACCGCTTACATGCCCAGCCATACACTGTTACCACCTCACCTTCATCATCTCACAGACACCTCCTTAGTCTTCAGAACCCAAACCCAGGCCCATTCCTGCTAGAAGCTCCCCAGTTTCATGCACCTGTCAGCCACCAGTGGCCACTCTGCTTGCATCATATGCAGTTTAACATTTACAGTCTTACATGTTAAGTGTGGTGTGATCAAAATTTTGAAAGTTCATTGAGGGCAGGGACTAGGCTGCGTTCACCTTTATCACTCTAGCACTTTGTACCTGCAGAAAGTAAATATGAGCTAACAGATGAATAAGTGACTGGACAGAAAGATACACGCAGAGAAGGGAGGAACAAAAATGGAGTAGACTCTTTTGACTCTTTTGTTCGTTATGTAGCGGTATGTCGAGCTGTGAGATGAAACAGAGGTACTAGGGTAAGAAATATTTATCGCACTCTGACCTGTTGGGAATCCATGAGGGGTTTGAATGGCATTGCGGTAGAGCACGGCTTAGACTGATTGAGAGGAAGTATACAGGGGTGGGCAAAAGGGGGTTTACAAGGGTTTGTATGGACAATACAATAATTAATCAATAGTAATATAGAATAGACTGTATCATGGACTCACAACTGTAAGCCTACTTTGGCCCACCCCTGTGTATGAGGGAGTAGAAAAAAGAAAGGTTCAAGGTGAGAGACGGCATGAGGTTTGGTGGCAGCGTTTCCCATGAAGGTTAACTTGAGCCTGGACTAGGGAAGTGTGGTAGAAGGAGGAGGGGGGAATCACATGCCAAATATATTAGGTAGTAGTCATCAACACTGGGTGATTGAATGGATAAGGGGAGACAAAGGAGAAAGCCAGAGTAACTGGCAGAATGACAGAGAAAAATTCAAAGTCAGGGGCAAAGGGAATGCAAGAGATCACTAGTTCTGTTGGAGACATGTTAGTGGACGTTGAGAAAATTACTGTGTTACATTAACCTTCTGATCTCAGCTTAGTTCTTCAACCCTCTAATACAGAACAGGGCTCATGAAAAGGAGGACACAGAGGGGGATTTTGAAGTGGAGTGGGAGGTCAGGCAGACTGTGGTCCCCAGCTGTGGTGGTGTCAGCCTTGATTGGGGACGTGCCACTGTGACGAGCAACCGGCCAAAACTAGTCAGGGAAGGGCCATGTAAAAGTCTGAGGGAGGCTGAGAAGTGGAAGGTCAGTAGGAGACCAAAATCAAACTTAATTTACTTTCCAGCTTTACCAGAAACTGCTTGTCAGGGATCTACCTCAGGCAAATTGAGAAAAACTAGCAAGTGTATTAAACCCATCACTGTTCAGCCGCAGACCATTCTAGGCAAATATTCAGAGATGCCCAAGCATGAAGAAAAGGCAAAGAAGTATCGATAACGACACTTCTAAGTTTTCTCTGCACTTTAATGACTGCAAGAGATAGAAAAAAGCCTCCAAACCTATCGCTCCAAACCTGTCTCGTCGTTACCTAATAGCAAAATGAGTCTTCACTGATAACTTTTAGTGCTACCTGTTTAGAAATATAAACAAATTCCTCAGGGGTATTAAACCTTGTGAAAAGGTCCTCTAAAATTAACCTTCACATTGTATGATTTTGAAATTTATTGTTTTTTGTCTTACCCAGCTATAAAACAAGTGGATAAGATAGAAAATGAGGGATTTAGAACCACCAACACCACCTCCTTTTATTTCATATTTGCTAGGTACGATCCACAGTATTCAGCCTTGAGTTTATCGAGCATTCTACTGCTGAGCAGTAGCCTCCCGCAAAATACCCTTTGGCCCTATTTTCCCCATAAAATTGACTGAAATGAAATGAAAGTTGCATCTTGGCTTCACTGAGCAGAACAGAATTACAGTAGACTTCCAGTTCCATCGACTGTGCTGCTAAGCATCTCTCTCAGTTCACAAGATCCATCTTTGTAAAAGCAGATGTACTCTCCTGCTTGCCCAAAATCCCGCTGGTGTTATTTAGCTCATGTAGCTTTTTATTTAATATAAGGTCTTATTATGTAATGTGAGTGCAGCAGTGCCTAATAGTTTTAGCTACTTTGCTAGCTGCTCCAGTCTTTCCAAACTGTAAAATTCCTATAATACAGTTAAATGTCCTTATAATGAAATCATATAGTGAGATTGTTCCTACTGGTCTTTTACCCATAAAATAATTATGGTCATTCCTACCCCAGTTAAAGACATTTTGCTAGGAAGAAATTGGTTTTTATGTAACATAGTTTCTTTGTAGTTTGCTCTAACTAAGATTAGTGCTTGGTCTATGTAGCAAGCAGCTATTAACTTCAATCCTTCTATTAAGAGGTACATTTAAGTAATTACCATTACTAGCTTCTTGAGAAAATTATGTATAATTTAGTTATTTACATTGTGTGTGCAGAGTAATTTGGTACTTGACAAAAGTGGTTAACTTGTATCTGTGACTCTTCAGACCCTACGGAGCAGGTGACCATACAAGTGCTGCCACCAAAAAGTGCCATCAAAGAAGGAGACAACATTACTCTGAAATGCTTGGGAAATGGAAACCCTCCTCCCAAAGAGTTTTTGTTTTACTTACCGGTAAGTGCTGAGGGGTTATTACGCGAGCTAGACTACTGTCCTTTTGTCCTGTCATTTGGAAACTGGCCACCATGAAGGATTGAATGTGCTTGGGCAGCTTAAGTGAGAAGGGATGTTTTTCTTGGGGATAAGGGACACCTGTAGAAGGTCCTTTGAAAGCTTTTCCAGCATCTGCCAGTGGTCTTGACGTTAAGAGATTTCAAGGAAAAAAAGGTAAAAAAGTCTGACTACAGACTTTTAAAATTACGTAATTAAAAGCCATAATTACGAAACCTCAACATTTCTTTATCCAAATAATTTCCAGGGATCTGCTCTTTAGAAACAGATGACTGTAAACGGAGAATCGCGGCAGCAAATGCTCTGACGCAGATTCAGAGTCTTCCTGCAGCACGTTCCTGAACACACCTGTGAACCGCTGAAGTGGGAACAGTTCCGTTGCAGATTATATTTAGCTTCTCAGACTAAATCCGGGGACTATATCTTGCCATTGTACATAGTCTATCAGTATCACAGCTGAAGGAAATGATACGTGTGCAGGATAACATGGAACATTCCTCTAGGCCGTGTTCCAGACGTCAGAGGGGAGTGTCTTCCTCCAGGAGACAGCTCATCCGAGGACACGTGTCTGCTCTCTGGCAGCTCTTTCGGAGTTTCTCTTCGATTTAACCTTTCGTGGAGAGAAGCACACGCAGCTTATATGCGGTTATTGCAAGGGTGTGTTTACAAATGTCATCTACTACATTACTTTGTCCGGTTCAAGCTTATCATCCGTTACATTGCTCAGAAGACTAGTATAAGTAATGTCTCCTAGATTTCAATGTTGACAGATGGCTTCGTTTCTTCCAACAAATTGGCACACTGTTTTTGTCTCATGTGCAAATGAAGTTTTGAAAGTAGTTATGTTTCTACCTTGGCTATCAGGGATCAGAAAGTCAAATATTTGTTTTAGTTTTAGCAACAATATCTGGTACTTATCTTTTTTTGTTAGCACATATTTCTGGTTCTTCTATATTTTTATATTTTAATTTGTTATTTTTCCTCTTACTGTCTCCCTTTTTTCCTACTTTCCTTCCTTCCTACCTTTCTTTCTCTCCTTTTTATTTAGATATATGGTGTGTTTTCTCTTAAGTTGGCTTGAATCTTCCTGTCAAAATAGGCAAGGCAGAAATATAAAAATAAAATATTGGAAATTTTAAAAAGATAAAACATAATTCATGCTATCAATAAAATAGATATCAATACAATGGAAATTCGCCTCTCAATATCAGTTATTTTTTCAGGAATCAGATAATGCAAACTGTACTCTCATTTGTCCAATCAAGAAATACATTTGCCTTTGTTTCTATTTGAAAAAATGTTATTTTCATCAAGAAATACAACTGTGCTTATTGTAGCTACCAAGCGTAATAAGCTTGTCATTTTACCCCCATCAAAAGGGACAGCCTGAAGGAATACGAAGCTCGAATAACTACACACTGACGGACGTGAGGCGCAATGCAACCGGAGAGTACAGATGCTCCCTGATGGACACGAAGAGCATGGTCGCTTCCACCACCATCACCGTCCACTGTGAGTCCCCATGGGCTTCCCATCGACTTCACTGCAGAGACCTCAAAGTGTCTAAGTGGGCCATCTTGTCCCATATGTTGCAGCTGTGTTTTTCTTAAGGAGTATGGTTTCATGTGTCTTCCCAAAGTGCAGAAAAGCAAGCCCAACTTTGTGCGGATTTACACTGCAATGTTGGAGTGTTGCATGAGCCTCATAACCGCAACTTTGACAGGGGTGAATGTCTTTTTTAAAACACCTTCATGGTATTAAGAAATTTATACATGGATATTAAAGAAACAGGTGATTTCATCTTTTAAGGGAGTATTTGGATATGTGCTTTTGGCACATAAAAGTATTGATTAAGTGTCTTTTTAAAAATTACAGAATACTAACACCCAACTGGAGCAACACAAAGTCAATGTAGACTCAGCCTCTAAAAGAGGAGGTAGTGACCATGAAAAGCCATCCACTGGTTTCCTTAGAGAAAGAGAGAAAATGTTTAGAAACAAAACCTCTTCAAAATCATACTAACTTACCTTTTTTTTTTAACTTGTCACTTGCTTTTGATCTCCAGGTACTTCAAAAGGTATATTTACTCTAACGTGATAGAAAAAGATACACATAGAAAGCAGACACTTCCCTTGTGTTGTTTATTCTGTAATTCCTGACAGTCTGTGTTATTGCTGTACTGATACAGCATGGGAATTGGGAGCTGTTTTGAACTGCTCTCTGGTGAGAGCAGATTTCACAGAGTGCTTGGGGCAAATGCCAGTCTTGCCTGGAGGTATAGAACCAGCTTTCCAACGTGTCTTTTGCACTCAATGTCACGGTCACATAAATAAGGTTTTCTCTAGCCATGAGCCACTATTATCCTATCCCATTGAGTATGAGGGGTTTCTTTGTCTAAAATCAAAAGAGACTTTAGAAATTGTCCTGAGAAAACATTTCTAATCTTTCACTCTACCTATGATGCTTGGGAAACATGGAGGATAGGAGCTAAAACTTTGAGGGAGATACAAGGAGTACTAGGGAATAGTGCAACCAGACAGTTCCCTGTGAGTGTCTGATGTTGGAAATACACCCTGAGGAGGCCTAACAAAAACAGTGGGCTGTTGGGAAATACTCACTGTCGATCCACTTCTCTGCTCACTCCATGTTTATGTTTCATGGATCTCAGTATGTCTGCCACCAGGAACTGTTTAAAGAAAAACAGCAGTGACCTCTCAGGATAACAAAAGTGCTGCTTTTCTTTGAGGACTAGTCAGTCATGGGACCATTTATCCAGCCTGTTCCATGAAAAAAAAAGTGAGGGACTGTAACCAGCATGTGGAATTGCCTATGGAATAACTCTCTGATATCACTGTCCACGAGACCTTTGGGTCCGTAACCAATCATCCGGTGCCGAGAGATGGTACGTTTATGTTTAAGAGATGCTAGCTCCTCAGGACTCTAAAAGGAGAGGGCTCTTATTTGTGTATCACGTGTAGATGAAGCAGGCAGGGATAGGTAACAAACTAATAAAGCCAAAGGCGTGGTTGCAGCCACATAGTACCTCCATGATCAGCTGTGCTGAGAAAAAATTAAACAAAACATGTAACAGTGTAATTGGAGTTCAGTGCATTTAACTGGATTTAAATGCCTTTTAATTTTGTCAGGTAAAGTGTTAACATTAGGTTGTAAGTTCTGTATAGCTCCTTAAAAGCTAAAAAAAAATATTGCAAGTAAATCAAGATTTGACTCTAAGTCACATGAAATGAAAACATAAAAATCCTATTTTTTCTCATTTATCTTTGATTGCTTGTTTGTTTTCCAAAAACGAGGTTTGTTTTCTTTCCATTGATGACTGAAGAGAGTGTCGCCAGAGAAGCGTCAGCCCACACTGGCCCGTGTGTGCAGAGCGGGCTCTCCTCGGGCCTTCAGCCGCAGCCCATGGTTGCTGATGAAGTACCTACTGCCCCTCTGGCAATGCATGTGTATAGAGATTCTTCATCAGAACTTCCAATGCCCATCATCACCTTTAAAATCTCTTATCACTGGCAAGTTAACTCTCCAGCAAAGAGAAACTTCTAACTCACCCTAAATAGAATTTTTCATTTTAACATAATTTATCAAAATATTCTGAGGAAACTCCACTTTTCTGTGTGTTAATGTCTATTTTAATACTAGTGAGAAACTGAGAAGGCACACTTCTTCTCTTCTCCTTCATTCATTCAATAACAGTTCCTGAGAGCCTCCCATGTGGCAGACACTGCGGAAACAGTGACAAGTCATTGTCCCAACCTCATGGTGCAAACACCCTAGCAAGAGAAGCAAGTATTGAAAAATGATTTTCAAACAATCAACAAATTGTAATCCAATCATGTAAAACTGAGGAGAAGCACATTGTACAATAGCAAATTCCCACTGCCATAGAATAAAGTCCCAACTGTGAGAATGGCAAGCACGGTCCTTTGCAGCCTGGCCTCAATGAACTTGTCTTCCCTGTCTTGTAAGCTTTCATGCCAATTACCACTGTGAAACCTGCCTAGCTCTCTCACCTCTTTGCTTTTGCTTATGTGCCAGAGGTTTTTCCCATAGCTCCACTTATCAAAGCTCTTCTCAAACACTGGGGCCACAGACATACTTTCTCCCACACAAAACTGTTATTACTGTTTTGGAACCCAGTTTGGCTCTGGTCTCTGTACTTCCATAAGTCTTTGCTTTTACCTCTGTTTGTTGTCCTTCCCTTAGTTTTTCAACAAATATTCATCGAGTCCATAATTCACAATACATTTGCTCTCTGGTACTGATTCCATGCTGCTATATATTATAGTTCTGTAATTGAGTTCATATTACCTCTACCTCAAAAATTGTACCCACTAATTATAAGCTCATTAGTCATCTCTGTAGCTCCCATCAGTGTTTGGAACCTAGTAGCTATACAATAAATATTTGTTATATCGAATTGGATTTTCCTCATATAGATTATACTATGACAGTAAGGTTTTTATAGAAATTGCTTTCCATCTAGAAGATTATACTTCCTTACATGTGTTATATATTCTATTTTTTAAAGATGATATTGCTAAAAGTGTACCTTACAACAGATATAATTTAAAATTTCAGCCTCATGAGAAATGGAATAGAAGTTTTTAAAAATATTTAACTACCATAGCCAGTTCTCTCTGAAGACACTACATGAACTACCTCATGACTTTTCAATTTATCACCTGCTGGCTAAATATACTTCATGTTCCCATGGCATGCTTTACCCATTCTTTTTATAATATTTACCTAGTCATCATTGTTCTTTATTTTCTTCCAGAAGGGATGTAAGAATTTTTTTCTTAAGGTGATAGATCCCAGGGGAGTGCTTATGTGCAGTGAAAACATCAATCATATTAACTGTGAATAAATGCATAATCAATTAGATTGATCATTCACTTGTCTAGACTGGTCTCAAAGCTTGCTTGAAAAATGATGGATTATGCTACAGGTCAGTGATTTCAGTCACATAAATCAGTTCTGAAATTCCAAGTGCCCTTAGAGGGAGTTTTTTCATTGTTTCTTCTCCAAAGTATTCCCACCAACTTTCTTTCCTGAGGTTTGCATTATAAGCAGATTTTCTGCTTCACAGATTTGGATTTGTCCTTAAACCCCAGTGGGGAAGTGACCAAGCAGATTGGAGATGCCCTGCCCGTGTCCTGCACAATATCTGCTAGCAGGAACGCAACCGTGGTGTGGATGAAAGTAAGTGATGCTCCCTGGTTAGTAGTCTACTGATTAAGCTGAGTCCTTTTCAGGCTTGTTGCATTCTATGCGATTTCCAAATATGCATATTCTTGGGCAGTATCTTTATACATGCAGACTCATACTCTATTTCTCTATAATAATACAAATCATGTCATGATAAAATTTTAGAGGTACTCACACAATAGTATGGCATCTATGATTGATGCTTTGAATCTTAGTTTGGGGGCATTCATTTAATTATGCGTATATGCTAAGTATTGATATATATATATGTATATATACTCAGACACACAAATATACATCTACATTTTTTAGGGCTTAACAATTTATGATGTGTTTTAACCCACATTATTCTCACATGACAGTTACAACACTCCTGTGAAATATACAGAGCATCCATTATTTCCTCACATTATGGATAAAGAGGTTGAGGTGACAAAAATCAGAAAGCTCGTAAGTGACAAGAGTAGAAACTGGAGCGTTGTCCTGACTGAGTGTAACTACTGTGCTAAAACTAATCTTAAATGTCTGAACGTAGGTTCTACTGAATTAGTAGCTCTTTGGAGGGACAGCTCTCTTTTGACCCTTGAGCCGTAGTAGAGCACCTGGAACATCCTAAGAGCTTAGTCAGTACTTCCTGAGTGAGTGCTTCCATTTTCTTTTAATTGTCTGAAAGGTAGGCCATTACCTGGACCCAATTATTGTTATATTTCTAGAGTGAGAGTTGGTAATTTGTGATCTGAGACAGAGTTGTCATCAAAAGCAGCAGTTTTAACTGGGATCCCCTACCCAAATCCTTGGCTGGTATATCTAAACACAGTGCATTTATCTCCAAAACATGGCATATAATGGGACCATTTAGCCAGTAATATGTTGACAAAACATATACAAAACATTTGAGGTAGGGGTTGTCAAGTATTTTCTTTATAAATAATTGTGGAGAAATGTATCACTAGACCTTCTTCTTGATAAAAATAAAAATTTTTAGTATTGCTCTTTGATCTCTTTAATGCCAGGTTCTGCTACTTGTTCTCTGACTCTTACTTTCTTATTGCACGGATTTCACCCCAGCCATATCACGGATTCTTGTTCACTCAGATCATTAACGTGTTACTCCATAGGCTGCATGTGTAACATAGTCTGTTTATAACAGCTGATGGTCAGAGGGCCGAACGAGTCCTAGGCAGCTAGACTACTCAGCAACATCATGAGCACTCATAGTGTATTTTACTACAGAACTGAAGGAGCTAGTGTACTTGGCTGAACTAGCTTCTCTGTCAACTGCAGTCATTGTTGTCAACTGGATACCTAATGTCCGTGGTGCTGGTTGATCTTGTCTGGCCACTGATTAGTGGATGGGAGAGGAAAAAAGTCCATAGTGGACAAAGACCACATAATCTTAAGAATGTGTTTCATTGCCTGCTTATGAGCATTTCAATTTCTGGTAAAGTGGCATCATTCTCTATATGTCAAGCAACATTTTAAAATTAAATCTTGCATTTCTTTATTTATTGAAATTAGGATAGTAACCTGTTATTAAGGGTTTCTTAAAAAATATTTGTCAAAAAAAAAAGTAAAAAATATTTGTCCTAATTGGCATGACTCCATAAAGGAGTCCCTGTTTGATAACTGTACCCTATAAACTAACTTCAGGCCTCTATACCGATCATTGACTGCATAGCACAAGTCTTCAATGCCTGTCATTCCTAGTTCATCTACATTTATTTCAAGGATAGTTACTATGAATCAAGGATTTTCCTTAGTGTAAGCACATTATATTGTTTATATAAAGTCCTCCTAACAATTCAATATGGTTATTACCTGGTTTTAAAATAAGGAAACTGCCTCGGAAAGTTATGAACTTGCTCCAGACTACAAATTCCATAAACAGAAGAATCTGAAATAACGTCCAATTCTAGAACTACAAAGGAAAAAGGAAATCTGGTTTCAAAGGCTTCTGAAGTTAAGAAAAAGAAGCTTGCATTTTCATTAGACCCAGAAGAGTAATTTTAGGCTTAATTATTATCTAATAAATACATTGAGGGTTTCTGTTGTGCCATGTGAAGTAATTAACTTTTTATTTAATCAGGATAACACCAGGCTTAAATCCAGCCCATCATTTTCTAGTCTCCAATATCAGGATGCTGGGAACTATGTCTGTGAAACTGCTCTGCAAGAGGTGGAAGGACTAAAGAAAAGAGAATCATTGACTCTAATTGTAGAAGGTAATAAAATACTTGAACACCCCTTCAAATGTTTCTTTGAGAATTTGCTGTCTGGTTACTTTTATGACCTTAGTTCAATATCTTATTTTAATTTTAATAATACTTTAGGAAAACCTCAAATCAAAATGACAAAGAAAACTGATCCCAGTGGACTGTCTAAAACAGTAATCTGCCATGTGGAAGGATTTCCGAAGCCGGCTATACAGTGGACGATTACTGGTAGCGGAAGTGTCATAAACCAAGCAAGTATTAGTCTTCTTGTTATAGGCTGCCCTTGGCCCAATGCGGGGTTTTATTTAGACACCTTAGCTGTGGGCTGGCTTGTTACCAATGTGAAGTTTGCAGCATGTTCTCGGAGGAAGCTTTGCTAAACTCTTAATTTTCCCGAAGGGATAAAAACATGGCTCAAAGAGAAGTTTTAAATGCCAGAGCCATGGAGAATGAAAGAATCACAATGTGGTCAGTATCCGTTTTTAAAAGAATGTAAATTAGGTGCTATTCCGTGGTCATTAATTCCTGAAACTTGTGTGATTAAAACATTAAGGTATGCACTTTTCTGCATCATAAACTTACACATCTGAGTATAAGTGGCCTCCATTACTTTGCTTACTTATGCACATTAGAGGATATTTCTTCTTAAAACTGGGCCCTGGAGTGTGGTGCAGACATTCACTGTTTCTGAACATATGGTCTGGTGTGTGGATGGCGGGGCTCAGGCCGGGATGAGGCTGAACATAATATCTAGGGTGTTTCCTTCTAAAAAAAGGAAACATAAACCAAATCTCTGTATATTTGTACCTTTATCAGGACATTTTAGTAATAGTAAAGGGTTAAAAACTTATGATTGCTACCAGTAATTTGCCCTTTACTTTGAAAAGAGAGAAAGAATCTGGCCTGTCACTAGGGGTTCTAGCTGTAACCCCATTAAATTGCCAGTCTGCTTGGGCTGCTGATATCCTTGTTAGTTGCATTTTCTCTACACCAGTCTTCACATCTTTCTTCTTAGTACAGCCACTTGAAGACTTCAGCAACACCCAGAGATGCCATCTAATTATCTGAATCTTCTGTGCTGCCTTCTCCTCGGCTTTGGACCCCGCTGAAATCTGAGAAGGCATGCAAAAACCACAGTTGCAATTTAATTTTAAGTTAAAATTTCTACTCCTTCTCTATCCAGGGAAGTTGGGCCCCTGGTCCAGATTCTGTAATCTGGTTTTGCAGAGCAGGTTGAATTTTGACTCTTTTATCCTTGGGTGATGGATATGTATTTGCATAATTCCAAGCAAAGAAGGTCTCCAAAGCAAAGGACTGCTGCTGATTTGGTTAGTGTGAAGGGGCCGCAAGAGACCGTGTGCAAGGAGCACACAGAGGCTCCGGAAGGAAGTGTGGTTGTCTTGACTCAAAAAAAAAGACCTGAACCACCTGGATTGCTGACAATGGATAGGTTAATTTTTTTAGCATCAAAATGGACTGCTTCTTTTCTGCTTTTTTCCCCACTTTTGTTCAATTAAGTCAGACTTAAAGCCAAAGCCTGTAGGTACTGATAATGTAAGCATGCAAAATAGAAAAATAAGCACAGAGTAAATAGTTGATGAATGAAAAGATAGAGATTTAAAAGGCCACCCTAGAAAAGAGTAAATATATTTTGTAGAGATATAAATAACTGGAAGAAAGACTCAGTGAGAAAGTCATGTGAAAAATACTAGTGAAAAACAGTAAAATAACGGGTGAACTGACTATTAGGATAAAAATAATAATGCCATTCTTCATTGTCAAGGAGAAGAATTGATTTTGGCCCACTAGGTGATATATTATTTTTCTTGTTTTAGGTTTGTGCTGATACACATAATCTTTTATTTGTTCCCTCCACAATCCAATGGTGAATCTATTATTTTACAGCTTCTGAAAACCCTGCCCCTCCCTGGCACAGGGACAAGACAATATTCCTAAGCAGGAAACTATCTCTTGTTCTTGAGGCCCTTACATTGTAGTGGAAGAGAAAGTCGGTAGGGACCAGTGCATGGTATGTATGAACCAGGTGATCAAGAAAAGAGCACAAGTACCTATTTGCTTCAGTCGTGTTTGACTCAGGAGGCAAGTCCTGGGGAAAACATTGCTCCACGTTTGGAGGGTTTAAATGCAGTGATTGTCCTCATTAACACTTCACAACAACCAAATGAATTTACCAATGACTAAAAAAGAATCCATCCTCTGTATTTAGCTTAGGAAATTTGAGAAAAAAATAGATTCCCCATGAGTAAAATCCTATATAAGTATGTACTTAGATATCATGCTCTCTAAGATAAAGAATTAACTCCTGTAGTGAAGAACAATGTCATGATTTACAAATAAGAACTAAATTCACTAGTTTATTAAGGGAAAAGGTGCTAATCATTAACTAATTATTTTGAGACAAGTACTATCCCAGCAAAATATTAAATAACCTGAGCATCTATTTTAAATAGATGAGTTTAGTCAACTTAATTACTAGAAGTTACAACAGAAGCACAAACAGGAACCCAGTTACAGGTTAACTGCCTGTTTTCCTCTCCACTGCAGACATGAACTTGGAGTGGTCCCTGTCTGCGACCTCTCACAGACCCCTGAACAGCAGGGTGACGCGCCGCACTTCTCCGGCTTCACTCAGCATTACCTTTTCCCAGGTTTTTCATCTCTTTCCATCTCTAAGTCCATATTCTTTCTTTTCCAGACAGAGGAGTCCCCTTATATCAATGGCAGGTATTATAGTAAAATTATCATTTCCCCTGAAGAGAATGTTACATTAACTTGCACAGCAGAAAACCAGCTGGAGAGAACAGTAAACTCCATGAATGTCTCTGCTAGTGAGTATTTCATTTCTGGCATTAAAAAAGTAAGAAAATTTGAAGTTATTCTTCATTAGTTTAAAATCTTCAATTCCGCCTTCCTATACTGCATCATGGTGAGTTTTATTTATTTTGCAGTTGATATCATCATCATAAGGTACTTTTTTTTTATTATTTCTAGTATCCATTCTTGTACAGTCTGTGTTCTGACAGCTAAATCATCTCATGTTTTGTGGGTCAAAGACCTTAACTTACACAGGAATGTTTCCCAAGAGCAACAGATGATATGAAATGAGTTGATATTATTTATTCTAGTTTGTGTTCAGAATTATAGATAACTCAAAGATGTTCTTAAAACATTTCTGTGACAGTTTTAATGTTGGTAAAATTTTAATTACCTTTAATTTATGACTTTGCATTTCAATGCTTTCTGGTGTTTATCCTGCCGTTATTTTGTACAGGAATGCCACGTGCTAAAAGTCATTCAGCAAACTGGTTGTAAAACAAATGTTAGAATTCATGAAATCTGGTTTAAAAATGGATGATTTTGAATATCATATTTGAATCATAGCTCAAAATCAGATAAATGGTATCATCTCAGACAACGCGGAAAAAAAAATCTGTCAATGGTGAAATCAGCCAGCACGTAAAAACTAAAAGCAGGTTCTTCTGAAAACAAGTATAATTCATTTGAAATTATTCATCTTTACTTCTGCCATTGTTCCCATTACTGTGTCAACCGTAAGTCAGGACCAGCCTGACATGAGGCCCAGTTGGAATACCGTTTGCAACTTTAGCAGGGTAGGAATGTACTGAGGAGCAATTAGCTGGAGCTGGGAGAAAATAATTGTGTAAGGATAATGGTTCTTAACAGATTGTGACTGGACTATAAAAGTATGCTGAACTGACAAGAAAAGAACCAAACAAATTTAACTCTCAAACAGGAGCATTGACTTCTCTAAATTTAATTCCACAAGTATTGATTTATCCCACCTAGAAAGAGAACCTATCCTTTCTTCCTGAGCACAGGTCTCTCTTATTTTAACCCATTGAACAGTGGTTTCCTAGACGTGGCAGTAACTTGATCGGCGTTTAATACAGCCATTTTCCAATTCAGTGGGCCCCTCCGGAAAGTTCAGTTTTTAGGAGGAGGGTCTGGGAATCTGCAGTTTAACAGACATCACTGGAGGTTCCGATTCAGGCCCATGCATGGAAGAATATCTATATAGTTTAATATTAGATAGTAATGCATCTCATCGGGGATTCTTAAAACGACCCAGGTTCATTCATGGCCCTGTCAGAGTTAATTAGAGGTTTTTGCAAACATCGCATATGTTGCCTGTTAACGCCCAAAACATCCCACTTGTAACCTGTAGCACCACCACTTGAAGAAGGTCCCTAGTGGTAAGTCCCTGACACTGAAGGGGAAAATTAATTCTCTTCTATTGAGGCAGGAAAACTTGGGAAAATGCGAGAAACACTACATTGTATATTTCTAATGTGGCAACTTGTTTCTCTTTCAAAAAAAGTACTATTAAAAGGTGGTAGATTGTGGGGAATTTACTATGGATTTTAGATTAATACTATAGCTCATCAGTGGTAAAATTTCCTATGGTAGATTAATGCCTTTGCCGTTTTAACCACTCTCCTTTCCTTAAGAAAAGATTAATTTCTTTGTAGGGAAGTTCACGCTCTATTAAGTGTAAATTTTTTCCACCCTTAGCTGTAGAATAGGTACTTTATCTTTGAGTACTATTACATCATACTATAGTAGTAAAGGTGACTTTCATTTATCAACAAATTTTGTTTTTAATTTCATATTAACATTTTTCATTTCAGTAAGTATTCCAGAACACGATGAGGCAGACGAGATCAGTGGTAGGTACTATGCTGCCGACCCTTCTTCCTTGACTACCAGCTCAAGCTTTATGAAATGTCGCTGTTTGAGTAATTTTCTTAGCCTCCACAATTTTGACTTGAATTAAAATAGCAAATGAGACGAGATAGTAAGAATGCTAAAATTTTATCCTTAAATTCACAAGTTTGCATGTTACTAACATAGCGAAGCTTCATCATTTTTAATAAGAAATAATAACTAGATTGACTTCTTTTCAGAAATCCTCGGCGCGCTCTATAATTGCATGGGTCTGTCTTCTTTGTTGTAGATGAAAACAGAGAAAAGGTGAATGACCAGGCGAAGCTGATTGTGGGAATCGTCGTTGGTCTCCTGCTTGCTGCCCTGGTCGCGGGTGTCGTCTACTGGCTGTACATGAAGAAATCAAAGTGAGTTGTGGGGAACAGGTCTTCACTGTTCGTTGACTTCCGCTAGGAGAAATGCAGCGTCTAAATTCTGCTCAATACGAATGGGCATGTAATTTCTGTGACAGGAAAGACCTGTTGCCCACACCAGGCGGGTCCTGTTTCGCTTTCAGCTCACAGTGGTGGCATCACCAGCGGCAGGGACGTGACTTGGGGTATGATTCTGTGTCTGGCTATTTTTCTCTATCAGTCGTTTGAATTCAAGTATTTGATTTTTTTTCGTGTCTGGGTGGATTCTTTAAAAACATATATTGCCTAAAAGTCAACGTTCTTAATCATTCACTGGAGGTTGGTAGAGATTAATTAAAAGTGGCTCAGACCTCCTGAAGGTGCGGCCAGGTGGGCAGCGACGGTCTAGCCGGCGGTGAGACTGCCAGTCGGTTAGTGTCATCTTGTCATCACTACTCCCCTCTTCTATTTAGGTCACTTTGCTTCATAGAAGGATCTAATTCAGAGACAAATTCATCATTATTTTGTCTTGAATTTTAAAAAATTAGTTAGACAAAGTACCAGGATTACTTTAAAAATGATTTCGATGGTGTAGAGATTTAAAACTATTAATCATAAAATAATGCAGATAGTATCAAACTTACAAATCATCTAACAGTTGTTTATCATGAGAATCCCATTAACTAATGGAGATTCTCAGCCTGCACACATGCCTCGTACCTGCTTCTCATCGCCCAGCCCTGCCCCATATTCAGGTGTGGAGTTCCTACCATGTCAGGAAGTGTTCCCCTTCTGCATTTAAGTTCGTGTGCGTGTCCACTCTCCCTCCGGGATGCAGTCGCTTCTGATAGGGGCACCTCACTGCGCAGTCTCGGGCAGTCCCTACCCTCACATGGCAACAAATGTGTTCTTTTTCTCAATGAACATTTTGCCTACAGCTGGCAGAGATGGAGTTTCTATCATTTGCATTTTTAGAAGGTTTTATTGGTGGTTTTGCAGTATACCGCTCATTTCAAACATGGGTTTTAAATCCTTTTATCTTATAAATGAAGACATTGTTTTTTTCAAGGGGATGAATATTGCTAGTGGCGACTTTGGAATTAATTTTATATTTTCTTGTGTTCTAATACAACCCCTTTTAACAGCTCAGGTAACTTAACTGAAGAGAAAAAATCAAAAGAAAAAGCAGGCTCGGGATTCATGCAGTGACTCTATAAAGATATCACCAGTTTTAGTGGGGCAATATTCTAATGGAGCTGCGATCAAAGGGAGGCAGTAGCTCAGAAATTTTCAAGTCACATAATATGAGCATGTGCTGAGCTCTGTTTTGTTCTCATAACCATCACTGAGGTAGACACTATTGTTATGCATGTTTTACATTAAAAAAGGAAAGGCAGAGAATGGTTAAATGACTTGCACAGTTGGTAAGGAACAGAACCATATTTAATCCAAGACTATGGTGCTTTAGAATCTTTGTGTTTAATCACTAGGCCTTACTTGGTCTCTTTTCTCATCATATGAGGCAGAAACATCTTCTTATTCTGCGTTGAGGTTTATATGTGTGTCCACTCTCCCTCTGGGGTGTAGTTGCTTCTGATATGGGCACCTCACTGCGAGGTCTCGGGCAGTCCCCACCCTCATGTGGCAACACATGTGTTCTTTTTCTCAATGAACGTTTTGCCTACAGCAAAACATTGTGGGGTTTGTGTCCATGGTTCCTGTGGGTTTGTGTCCATGGTTCTGTGGAAAATTTAGAAAACTGCCTGACCCGTGAAAGTGAAAGGAAATGCTAAGAGTTGCCTAGAGGCCATATCTATCTTATAAAAATTATCCACCTATGTGGATAAGTTTCCTAATAATCAAAATCTTACCATCCTTCATTATAATTCATCATAAGGTACTGAAAAATCTAACATCTTGGGATCAAGGGTATTTCTATTTTATTTACTTAGAGTTTCTGATATACTCCTGAGTAATTTCATTTACTAAAAAAATGAAAATAAAATTTCCTCTCTTCTGAAATGGAGCTGAAAAATAAACAGCCATACTCTGCATTATGATCAAATGATTGTTAAATTCTTGGGATATCCCCAGCATCCTAATCCCCCTACTTTAATGTCCAGTGTCTCATCAGACACAATTTTCCTTCTATGAATAGAAGAAATTTATGTGTGTTTGTGTGTGTGTGTTTGTGTGTGTGTGTGGAGAGGTGTTATTTCATTGGTTATTACCATATAGTAAGTAACCCAAAGTTAAAATCACAGATAAGTAAATACTGGGCACTTGGCTGTGTAGTGCCTACAAAGGTTAATGGTTAGGTTAATGGTTAAGACATCCTGAATTTCCTTTAAAGTATCTCATTAAATTAAGTGCATTTTCTTACCTTCCGACATAAATATTCATTCAAATAACTGTTACTTAATGGAAAAGTGCACCAACTTCTCTAGACTTAACATTATTGGTAATCAAAATAATAAACTGCAATTCTCATCCCAAGCATCAAAGTGTTTTTCTTATGAATTTGTGGCACTCTTCAGATTTCCTAAGTGCTTTGCATTCCTGATTATTCTTAGCAAGTTATTCATTGCTAATGTCCTCTGAGATAAGCCAGCATTTTGGAAATATGAGTTAATGTTAATCCCTTTGTCCAGTTTTTCAATTTATCATATGAGCCTTTAAGTTCAGGATTGCTAAGGCCATTTTTGGTTTTCCTATATTCTTTTTCTTTCTTTTCTTCTAGATCATTCCTTTAACTTTACAAATTTATGGAAGGGTTAATTTCTAGCTGTAGCTAATTCATCAGCATATTCCATGAATGTGAGAAATGTTTGATAAAGATATGATTCAGACTTTCCCCTGGGTACCTAAAGAAATATAGTCTTGTGTTCACCATCTTACAAAACAAAACCACCAATAATCGTAGTCACCATTATTGCAAACAACTCTAAGCAACAATTAAGAGTCAAACATTTGACTTAGAAGTCTCAGTGATACAACTACCCAAGTGGCAAAGTTCTAGAAACATTCAGGGGAAGTTTTTTGTATTTAAAATTTTGTGTTTTAAATTGGCAATTTAAAATCTCATTCAAGAGAGATGAGAAAAGCAAATCTTTTTTGCCCAAAGAAAATTGAAGAGTATATTTGTTAACATACCTAGCGGCTGCCCAGTTGGTGTGCACCCCCCATTCCATTATTGTGACCTGTGTACTTTTACATCTGTTTTAAATATGGAGTCCTGCAGCAAGAAGTGCTTAGTAATGGCTCTCAGCGTTTTGAAATTATGTATTTAGAGCAGAGTAAGGACTCATTATTCCTCTGCTGCTTTGATTCTTAGAGCTTCTCACTGGAAGATGTTTAAAATTAGAGACTCTTTTGATACTAAGAATGGATGACTCTGACATTTTCCATATGTGTGTAGTGTCTCAACTAATAGTTCCAGGCGAAAGGCGTTAATTGACTAAGCCCACTCCATGTCTGGTTGTTTCACAGGTAGGAGAACATTGAAAACCAAGAGATCATTTAAAATGTTTTAAATAATTTATTCTGTTTCCTTTTATGCTGTGCTCTGTGGGAAGTTAAATGTGACTATTGGAGTTTCAGGTCCTTTCCTGTATATCTTATAACACAAGGACTAATGAAAAATTCAAAGAGCCAGAGGTAAAGGGAAAAGGCAACATGATGTAGCCACGAACTTGTTCAGAGGTTTATTAAAACCATAATTTCCAGGTTTGTTGCATTTAAGAGACCCCTGGCCACCATACTTCTTATCACTAAACTGGGAGTAAGCATTTCCAGGACATTTGTGATCTCAGCATACACATTGTCTGAATATTGGAAACTTTCAGAGAGATTTACCTTTTCCAACTGTGGGACTCATGACTATTTTTGTGAGAATAAGTGGGTAATAGGTAGACAATCTGGAAATCTAAAATTCAAATATCTTCTGTTAGTTCTGCCTTTATGCAATGCTATATTATTCCACTACCATCTCAGACAAAAAATAAAAATAAATAACAGTTCTAAATTGGTGAAGGACTAAAGAGGATTTGCCTATAACACTGAAATGTTAAGAAACAATGTTATGCCCTGGCTGGCATAGCTCAGTGGATTGAGCGCAGGCTGCGAACCAAAGGGTTGTAGTTTCGATTCCCAGTCAAGGGCACATGCCTGGGTTGCAGGCCAGGTCCCCAGTGGGGGCCTCGTGAGAGGCAACCACACATTGATGTTTCTTTCTCTCTCTTTCACCCTCCCTTCCCCTCTCTAAAAATAAATACATAAAAATCTTTAAAAATAAATTTAAAAATGAAAATATTGTTTAAAAAAAGAAACGATGTTATATTAAGCCTCTAAAACCCTGCTCGTTAGTATTCCTTGATACATAGAATAGGGTCTCAGAAGAAGGTTGACTTTTACTGAATTCTATTTCCAATCAATACTCGCTGTGATGAGGGAACATCGACTCCCTACTGAAAAGAAAGTGCTGGGGGACTGTTTATAGCACATTTTAATCTTTCCTCACTTATTGCTACATGAGCACCTACTATTCATTTTACTTTTTCTTGTTTTTGTTCTTTTACTGAAATCCTCAGCAATGTAATGAGAGGAATACAATTAATCCTATTTTAGAGTATTAAAGGTTCAGTGAGATTAATCTGCCCAGGAGTATTCCATATCCCATATATTTTTCAAATCTATTTTGGTGCCTCCTCACGACTTGTTTGGAATTAAAAATTTACCTCTGACTTTGATGTCCTGTGGCATTTAACGTAGTGCATGGGATGGAAGGGTATGTTCTGAAGCTGGACTAATCCAAACTTTGGCTTCTTTCTCTCTCTATCCATCATCTGGCAAACAGCCAGAGGAAGAAAATAAAATTCCCCATTATTCTATCAAACCATCAATGACAAAGTGAGCTAGAAGGGAAATAAAATATTGTGGAAATGCTAGAGTCCCCATCCAGTCAGTCACAAAGTCACTGGCCATTCAAAGGACAGAACCATTCATGCCTGTCCCCT